CATCATCGTCATCATCATTTTCATCGTCATCATCATCATCATTTTCATCGTCATCATCATCATCGTCATCATCATCATCATTGTCATCATCTTCATAATCTTTTTACAAGTTTTCTTATCCCGTCATGTTCTATAACAGTTATATTTGGTATTCACGATGTTTCTTCTTACCAGGGCATCCAGCTCAGTCAACTTCATCTCTGCCACACGGCTAACAAGTGGTTTGAGCAGAGCATCCAGAATAACTCCCTCTACCCCTTCCTTAATACCGAACAGCTTGCCTTTGTTCTTCTTGCCTCCTGATTCTTCTTCTTCGGTAGCAAACGGATTGCACTCATCGCAAAACCCAACTAAAGCGTGTAGGAAATCAACAACATCTTCGACTGGTTCAATTTTTGCATAGTTCGAGAGCCAGCCTTTAAACGCCTTGTCGTCCTGCTTCTGTATATTGGCGAGGTAAGCGTTGGACTGCTCTCGCAGGATATCACCTCTATACGCATGGCAACCTTCACCACAACCTGATGACATCCAAAATAAACAAAGGAATAGGAATATTTAAAGACAGCGCGCAAATGCGAGGGAAGGACAGAGAATGCGATGGTAGTACAGAGAGAAAAGAGAAACGAAAGTAGGAAATAAGAAAGTGGGAAAGTGTAGAAAAGGGAGTGAAGGGAGTGAAGGGAGAGAAGGAAGAAGGGAGAGAAATGGGAAAAGAAATTGGGAGAAATGTGGGAAGAAGAAGAGGGAAGGAGAAAGGGAAGAAGAGCGTGAGGGGAGAGAAGGGAGAGGGGGGAAGGAGAGGGGTGGAGGATTGTAGGGAGAAAAAAGAGGGAGGAAGGCATATAGGGACAAAGAGAATAACATATTAGTAAAGAATAATTCCTTACCCAGTGGACAGCCCAAAGCACGTATCAGTCTGATACCACAGCCCAATGATAGTGTATATATTGTAGGAGGACGGCCATAAAAGTTGGGTCTGAGACGAGAAAGGATCGTCTCTGTTTGATACATCCTAGTACCTATTGCCATGCACTCAGTCACCGTCCTGTCATCTAGAGCACACGTGCTAGACACCGCACTGGTCCTTTTTCTCTCTTTTTCTTTATCATGAATCATCAATAACAGTTCCAGGACTTTCAACCCGATCTGGCAAACACGTCCACTCAAGTTCTCCTTCAGAACGCCATTGACAGCCTGTAGTAAGACCATAATACTCAGACGACCATCAGAAGTGACGTAATCCCCCACCCCCGGGAAGACTAGATAGTGTTCGATACGAAACATGGAGTCTCTTATTCCACGACCAATACTACGACGAGCATTAAGTGTCCCAATACTTGGTTGTAGGCTAACTACTTCGGCAGTATCTTGAGTCTCGGTGCTGCTGTCTCGTATAAGACTTTGCTTTTCTATATCACTGGCTGAAAAAACCGAGCTGGTTGTTTCAAACTTCGACTCGCTTCCCTTCGGTTTGGGCTCGACTACTTGTTGCTTTTCGCTTGTGTTCGCTTCATGTTTTGGGTTGCTTGGAAGCTCGTCACTGTTCAGACTTGATTGTGCTTCGACGGTTTTGCTTTCCGATGTACTTGACATTGATTGGAGAGCTTTCTTGTCAGTTTCCTTCTCGCTTCCTCTCAATAATGCTTCTTCGCACTCTAACTGGCTGGTGATGCTGCTGAATGAATCGGCAATCTTCCCTTCGTTGCTTCCACTACTCGGCGTAACAGTAGTAAGTGTTCCCTCACCAAGAGATGATACAGACTCTAGACTAAGCTCACTACTAGAACCCATGTTGTTGAGCATCGTAAAATGATTCATGAGTGTCTTGTCGATATCTAGTGCCTTCGCGCCATTGCTGATTCCTGCTTCTTCACCGCCACTTTTATCCTCAGAGGCACCAGCCTTTTCGCTTTTAACTTTTTCTTCATTAGTCTTCTGGCCAACTTTACCACTTGGAACATTTTGTTTATCTTTTACAGCGCTCTGGGAATGCTTCATACCGTCTGTAACAATCGTTTCATCTTCCTCGACATCACCGTTGTCAAGTCCATTTGTCTTAGAAACGTTGAAGTCAAACCCCTTGTTAGTCGAGCCTGTGTTTACTTCATCTACGATTTCCAATGTGGGAGTACTGGGAGTAATAGAGATACTGTAAAATGTTTGGCTAGAGTTGAGATCATTTATAGCGGCATTTTCTGGGGACATCTCGACTGGTTTGGCAGAGTAGACAGGGCCACGGCGACCTGATACTGGGGAATCAACTCGAATTCTCAACTTTGTAATGCTGTGTCTGGTCTCATCTTCGGAGACAATTAGTTTTCCTGTATCATTGTCGTCATCTTCTAATGTGAACTGAATATCTTCTGTTCTTGTATCTGTGGGCTCTGCCTGCTCGGGAGACATTTGTTCCTTGCTCGTATCAGCGGTCACTGCACTTGAAGGCTTTTCAGTGTCATCTTCATTACTGATGTGGATCTGGACGTCATGTTTGGGCGGCGTTTCTGCTGGTTTTGCAAGAGGAATGGGGTTATTGAGCACACATCCGCCATAACTATCAACACTCTCAGTGTCTTCCCCTCCTCCGGCTCTTCCCCATGATGTACCACTTGCGGAAGCAAACTTTTGCTTTTCCTTTGCTCCTGGTAAGTCATACTCTCTTCTAAGGTAGTCTGTAATGTAAATCAATGACCAATAAACCCCTTCCTCGCACCAACCACTCGACAGCAAACATCTCAAAACAGCAACGTCAAAAAAAGTAGCGCTGCTGAATGGCAAAGCTTCGTTAACAATTTTTTTAGATTCGGAGGTTTGGCTGTTGCGCGCAGAGGCGTCGGGATCCATGCCAACGAGTTGGCCCACAAAATCCTCAGAATTAGGATCCTTGTACAAGACCGGATGGCAGAAAGCTGGTAGTTCCGGAATTTGGTGTGCTTGTAGCGGCTTCCATAGCGCAAGACCACTCTCTAACCTGTTTGTCAAATCTTTTTCTTTGATTTTATTAACGTGTGGGATGAGAAGATGGACAAATAACTCTATCGTTGAGATTGGATGAAGAAGGTTTTCTGGGTCTTCGATGCCACAAATCCCTGGGGCTTCAAATAGGATCCAGTGTAGTGTATAGATCAGATCTCGTTCAGGGTTAGTGAGGCGGTCAAAGTATCCAAGCTGGTGTCGGTTGCTGAGTAGAGCACTACAGCACTGGATGATGTATGCGAGTGAAGAGTGAACAAAGAACCACCTTGGGACGCTCTTGAAAGCACTTGGGAGCCCTTGGAGGTTATTCTCACAGATGACATTCTTTAATGACTGAATGAATGAAAATAGAAGATGCTTACAAACAATAATCAGAGATAATTGTACAGCATTTTCTAAGATTAAGATAAATCAAATAAATAAATAAATAAAATAATAGAAAAAATTTATAATAAATTTATTTATAAAAATTTATAGAAGGAAGAGGTTAAGATTAATCTCCATGTATATGGAATATTAGAGAAAAATTGATCATCCTCCTTCTTTTCAAATAAAAAATATATTTTGATATCCCGTTTATCACTGTGTAAAAATTTTACCATTTCCCTTACATTTTTATCCAGCCTGCCACCCTGCCGTTGTAGAACATGCAGCCCGTACCATTCATAATTACATTCTTCACTCACTCCCCTCCCCCCTTCCCTGGGGGAACCAAGTAAGTACCAACCTCAGAAGCAGTTTCATATTCTTTCTTTTCCAGCTTGGTTTTGAGAAGCGGACTGAAAGGCAAAGGAAAAATAGATTATATGTTAAACTGCTTAGAAACAAAACTAAAGATGGTCAGAAAACTTTGCAACATGCTTGTTTGCAAGCATTTCTGATGATTTGCAAGCATTTCCAAGAGAGCAACAAAGACATGGCCACCATGTTGGTGGTATAAACAAAAGAGACTAATAAAAAGGTTTTGGTTAAATACCAGCAACATGGCCAAAATAACATGAAAAAACCTGTCAGGATTTGTTTTTCTCCATTGATAAGACTGTCACCAATAGAATTGGGGAGCACAAGTTGCATGCTGTGCTAATGTGCTGCCTTTCATCAATGAGGCCCTGTTATGGGTAAATTCCAACAAGCAACATGGTCTTGAAATGGGAACACAAGAGCCACAAACTAGCAATAAATGAAAGACTGTTCCAATGAATTACTGACAGCAAGGCCCTGTTAGGGGGTACAATTCCAACAAGCAACGTCATGAGCATGAAATAGTGGCACAAGAGCCATAAACTATCAACGAATGAGAAGCTGTTCTAATGAATTACCGACAGCAAGGCCATTTCAGGGTAAATTCCAACAAGTAAACCAAGTTGTGAATTTCAGATGGAGGAAATGGATCTCATGGATCTCATCAATAAGAGCCAGGTTTGATTCCTGCTGCGCTTGGTGTCATAACATGCTCTCTCCCCAACACTTTGATGCCTAGACCAGTTTTCACCATCCTAGGGACACATGCATGAGTAGTGAACAGTATGATAAAATTGGTAGCCATAAGAAAAGCATTCTACCAAGATAGTTATTCTCCATCAGGCCAATCTTTTCTATTCGTTGTTTAGCATTTCGATTAACTGCCTTATACTTAGCAGACTGGAAGAAAGGAATTTTGATTTAAGGATACAAATGAACAAGAAAATGCCTTCCTTTATACCCAAATTCATATCAATATTCATCATTTTTGAAAAAATACAGAGTGTAGTTGTAATGTTTAAAGATCCAAAATAGCCCAGTTTCTGTTGATAAAGGCACATAAAGGGAACACAAGTTCAAACCAATTAAATACTTAAATCTAATGTCTTACAACACGATAAGAGAACCAAAATAGATATTCTTAAAAGCATACTCAGAGAGATAGATCTGAACAAGCCCTTCTGTCCGCAAAATGTAAATTGATTTTTGAAAGTCACTTGCTAAGTAAATGTATTAGCATAATAAAAGAAAAAGAAAATAGAAAATTCAGGAGACCGATAGCTAAAGAATTTTAATCGTATGCACAAAGAAATGTTTAAATTTTATGCGTGTAATGTCAATATTTTGAAATTGAAATTCGTATAGCAATCTTGAAAGCTAAAAACATACGCTTTCCACAATAATATGCATGTATTGTCGTTACGGGTTTTAAAACAAATGACCTCAAAAAAATATGCTTTAAAATGCTGTTTTGTTTTTGAATTGGGTCAAAATAATTCAAGACCTTTTCTTAACAGCAAGGAATTTTCTGTCAAATGCCATCAGCGAAAATTTTTTAAAGAAAATAGTTTTAAATCGATTGAAATGGTTTTGTGGTCGTTTGGTGTACTGTAATATTTTATGAGCTGAGGTTACTATAATGATTTATGATTTTAATACAGCGGCCCTAACATAAAATGCGACTAAATCACTTTAAATATCTAAAGAGAGCGGAATAAATACCACGAAAATGACATTTTATCATGTGTAGGCATTGTAATGAAGCCAAAACCAGGAGACAGATTTGAGTATAATATGAATGATTCTATTGAGACAATAGGGGTTTTCTAGTACTATGTTAGAAAATAAGCAAGAAGCCACTTCATTCATCAAGGACAACAAAAATAAAACACAAACACACCGACGACACACGAAAGAATATCAATTTTTCTGTAGATAATTTAGGATTTTAGCAAATTACCTTGTCTGTTGCCAAAAATACGTCTGTATGGCCAAAGGGATTGATCTCCGTTCGACATTAAATTCGCGAACGGCGAACGACTTGTTGGCCATTTTGTGGTCGATGGCGGCCGACATGGTTCTTTGTTAAATATAATCCTCCATTAGACCATGAAAGCTTACTTCAAAGCTTAGTTCTGATAGCCAAAGAGGTACAAAAATCTTTGCAACCCAAAGAAATTTGTGCTTATTCAATACACAACATTTACCGTCAGCTGCTCTCAGAGAGAAGCCATGTTTATGACAGAGCGCGAAGGCCTGTGGGGCAAGATGGACCTTGATTGCCGTAAGCGTGACGTAAAGACTGACAAAAATCCAGAGAATTTTTTACGTAAATATTCATCTATAACCCTGTAATGACGCCAAATGATATATGAGACGTTGATATCGAGTACAATAAATGGTAAAATAAATAAAAAAATGAATAAATTGAATTGAATTGAAAATTTTACTGAAATAGTTTTTTTATTACTTTGCGTTGATATTTTTTTACGAACTTTTAATGCGACACTTGATTATCGTACTTTCTCTCGCTTTTATTCCCCCTTTCTATGAGTAACTCAGTATCAACGATAACTTGGGCCGTTTACTCAGTTGCCGATTTAGAGTCGAACATATTAATTCTAGGACAATATCCGTGAATCGAAATTACTTAGATTTTAACTTTATCTCTGGCATAAATTTCAATGTGCGTCAACCGATTCTAAAATGAGACTGTTTTGATTAATCGTATTAAAAATCTCACCAAGGGCCCTGGGCTAAATGCTTAAAATAGTCTGTTCGGTAGCGATTCTTTTTTTCAGCTTTATGATATGACATATATTCAATATTGATTCGTTCAGTTTTTTCTTCTGTTCGTTCTTCACTCATTCATTCAGCGGTTACAATAAATCAACCATCCCTCTAAATTTTCGGTTATTTCTTCATTCCCAACAAAAGACAAAACGAAGGTTAAAACCATAATATTTAAAAGACAGTTTCAAAATATTTATTTCCCTTTCTTTTATTTTCCATTTTAAGTTATCATTTTAAGTTATCATTTTCACATTTAAATAAAACTAAATATAGAACATTTCTGCTATTCTCATGACGTATATCATAGAATACATGATGAATGTAAATACTTTACAAATATAAAGTTCGAATGTTAGAAATTAAATTAATTCATGGTTATAGATTGTTTTTGTTCATATCCGTCCACAAAATGGCCTCTGCTTATACGCATATAATTCTGACTTTTTTTGGAATTAAACAAAAGAATATGAAGCAGACTTCATTCCTAATATTTCCCGCGCTTTTTCTACAAGCTGCCCTTGTCACTAAGTCAACTTTACCCCGCTTCCCCGCATGTTTTGAAGCTGCTTTAACGTATAAAAAGAGGCCATTACCTTTGGCGGTTTTATATCTTATAATTATATATCTCTTTATCATTATCTATTGATTTCTTCTTCTTCTTCTTCTTTTTCTTCAGCATCATCACTATTCACCAAGACTTCTTCATATCCATTCCCAGTTGCCCAGAACTGGACATGACCAGAAGCGAAGATAACATAGAAGATACAGCCCGCGGCGTAAATGGCTCCACCGAGATAAAACACTATACGCCACTCACCAGCAGTCTGGAAAAGAAAATAGATAGACGTTCAGATAGATAAGGTGTGTGTGTGTGTGCGTTTTCTGGTTTCTCCGGTTTTTCTCCCTTCACTGAAAAAGTTTAAATCGCCAAATTCTCATTCCATAATGGCCGCCGGAGCAAGGGCCAGAAATTTTAAGGCATAGATAAGTTTTCTTGCCGAAGGTTATGAATGATACTTTTGTTAAACGAAGATATACATTGTAAAACATCGCTTTGACGGAGTTTTATGACGCGAAGAAAGCCTGAAGAAAGCCTTCCACGCAAAAAGGAGAAGAAGAAGAAGAAGAAGAAGAAGAAGAAGAAGAAGAAGAAGAAGAAGAAGAAGAAGAAGAAGAAGAAGGAGAAGGAGAAGGAGAAAAGAAACAAAGAAACAAAAAACGAAGCGAAAAACATAAAACAAAAAAAAGCCATTTCCATTTACTTACTTGGTNAAACATCGCTTTGACGGAGTTTTATGACGCGAAGAAAGCCTGAAGAAAGCCTTCCACGCAAAAAGGAGAAGAAGAAGAAGAAGAAGAAGAAGAAGGAGAAGGAGTAGGAGAAGGAGAAGGAGAAGGAGAAGGAGAAGGAGAAGGAGAAGGAGAAAAGAAACAAAGAAACAAAAAACGAAGCGAAAAACATAAAACAAAAAAAAGCCATTTCCATTTACTTACTTGGTGTTGTACGATAGCGCCGGTAAGTAGAGGACTTAATATTCCAGGTAAAGTAGCAACCGTGTTACTAATCCCCATCAATACACTGGCATATTGAGGAGCAATGTCAAGATGATTGACAAAGTACCCACTAAACGCCAACCCACCAAGGCCCACTGACAATGTAAGACATACAACAACTACCATCCAGTCAGTAGTGTAACCAGCGATGACAAGACAAACGGCTTGGGCCAAGAATCCTGAAAGATATTATCAAACACGAGTATAAATATTAGATATATTAGAAATGATCTTGACAAAGCTAAAGTGCTCTCAAACATACCAATGGAGTTGAAGAGCTTTCTCACTGCAGTCGTGGAGAGGACTTCTTTAATACGAAGACAATCGGCGATCTGTCCACCTCCCTGTACGACGATTGTCATGACAAGGTATGGCAGAGCTGCAAGGAAACCAGCCTAAGCACAAGGACAGAGAATGTTATATATATGACAAACTAAGAATAATTGGATGGGGAAAGAAGAGGAATAAGACATGAAAGGAAATATAGAAAAGAAGGGGACGAGGACTGAAAAGTAATGAATTGAAGGAGGAAAAGACGAAGGAATTAAGAAAGGAAAAAGATGAAGGCTTATAGAAATAAAGGGAAAAGAGGGATCGAAGTGAAAGAAAGTCAGGGAAGAAAACAGGGAAGTCAAAAACAAGAAAATGGGAAGAATAAGAGAAAAACGAGAAAAAGACAAAATTAGGAAAATTAGAGGAACGAAAAAACGAGAGAAGATGATGTTGCTAGTGGAACCATTCTTGATATTGTTCTTACCTTCCCAAGATCAAAATCAAGTCTGTTTTTCAAATATGTTGGCAATTCTGTCAGCAATGTGTAAAATCCCCAATTTTCACTGAAATGAGCTACGACTATTGCCCAAACCGGCAGTGATGTGAAGATGGATTTCCAAGGTATTGAGGTAACAGGCTTAAGAAATGAAATAATACGTTTTTCATCAACACTTTTCCTGACTCCCCTAAAGGAGGGAAGGAATATAAATGATAGGATTTTGACACTTTCACTTTATTAACAAATAGTTATTTTGAGCCAATGGCTTACCTTAGTAGATGCCCCATTTTCTTTCAAACTTCTTTGGATGAACTCAAGCTCCCTTTGGGAAATTCTATGATCTTCAGAAGGTGAGTTCCTCACGATCAAAAACCAAATAAAAGTCCAAACAATACCAAAAGATCCTGAGGGAAAAAACAAAATTGAAAAAAAAAGAAATGCTATTTGGGTCATTAATGGAATGGCATCACTTACCGAACACATAGAAAATAGCTGGCCAACCAGAGACTTGTGCTAGAACCCCAGACAGAGCCATGGCAATCAAGGTGCCAAAATATGACCCTGAAAACAGTGAGGAATGGTGTCAGCAAGCAAATAAAATGAGCCCTATTTTACTGTGTTTTACTGGTTGTTATTATAGTCATCATCACCCCTGCGTCAGGACCATGGTCAGACCTGGTCAAACATGATTAAAACATGTTAGAAAACTCATTAATAATTCATGAAGAAAACACAATAGAAATCATGACCATGAAGGTGATTTTATATCTGATAAAGATTCGTCTTCATTTGCATAAACTTTAACTTGGATTTTCTCTATCAAACTTGGTTCATTTCGTAAAAAAAATCGGTACACAATGAGAACAAACATCATAAGTTTTCTAAGCCGTTCAATAATCTCGCAGATCGTGKTTTATCGGGTCTAAAACCACTCGGCTGCGCCTCGTGTTTTATACCCGATAAAACACTCCTGCTCGTTTATTAAACATTACTTAGAACATGGTCAAGCAAACATGGTTGACCATGGTTTGACCATGGTCAACCATAAACATTAAATTGCACAAGTTTAACCATGGTCAACCATGGTCAGTTATTGCTATGTAAAACAACAACCATGGTTTGACCATGGTCAACAATGTTTAAAAGCATGCAAAATCAATACCATGGTAATACCATAGTCAACCATATTTGAAAGCAATATCAATACCATGGTTTACCATGGTCGACCATGTTTGTAAGCAGCACCAAAACAAATATTAATGGAGAAGACTAATTGCACATGTTTGCAAACAGCACCTGTACAGCATGGCCAAGAAAAACCTACATAAATATACAATATCAGGGTGCAAATCATACTGAGCAGTAATATAATTCACTCATTAATAGAAGGAACAAAATAAATAAAACAATTATTGCCTTTTCAAACCAATATTTGCACTTTCTTTAATGCAACAGAAAATAACTTGTATACAATCAGCATGTAAATATTAGCCAAAATGTTTGTTTCTTCATTAAAGCTACTATCATGAAATTTGGTTGGCCTGGTGCTCTTGATCATCATCACAATCACCACCAGTAGTATTGATCATCAATGTCATCATCATCATCATTATCACTTATCACTATCACTATCGATATCATCATCACCACCATCCTAATCATACCCACTACCACCAAGTTCATTTATCATCACCATCATCATCATTATGTCATTACCATCATCATAATTATAACCATCATCATCATCCTCATCATTCAATATTTCATAGCTCACCAGATGCTGAGATAGTTGTTAGCTTGCTTCGTTCCAGAGGAGGAGCCCACTTACTCCAGACAGCATGGTTGGCTGGATAAACCACACCCTAAAGTGGAAAAAATATTTTCAAAAACTGATATATATAATAAGATTTTTCTAAGTTCAAAAACACTAACCCACCACCTTTTCCCTTCCAATTCAAAATATTCAAACTATGGTTTTACTAACCTCACAAATCCCAATCAAGATTCGCAGTGCAATCAATATACCAACATTCCACCTTGCAGCAAGGGGAATCAGTATAGTTAAGACAGAGGTGCAAAACACCCCAAAACCAAAGAGATTCCTTCCCCCAAATTTGATGGCCAAGACACCTCCTGGAAGTTGTGTGATGATGTATCCATAAAAGAAAGCACTTAAGATGATTCCTGGTGTTGAGGGGAAAAAAAAGTGTAAGCTTATTGGATAATGATTAGACATCTTTATGTGGAAAGATTAAATCCTGCAGAACTTGCAGTGCTAAGATACTGCCTTTATCATATAATTATCCATAAAATACCTATATTTCTCCTTTTCGAAAAACTGATATTTTCACATGTGAAAATAACATGTTATTTTCACATGTGAAAATATCGTTACCATGTGTATTTAAGCTATTRGTTTATAAATAARAACTTTTTATAATAATAAAAAACTTATTAAGTTGATTTTATGGATAATTATATAATAAACAGAATATTACATGGGTGCTTGGAGATACGACATATCTCCGTGCGCCCATGTAATATATTCCTCTATTTCATATATGGAGATCTCCTATTGCAGCTTTACTTTTGCCCCATTATTACATCACGTCTTTCCCTTCCCATTATATAGCTAGACACAAAAAAAACTTCAGGATTCTGTATTTTTTATATAAAGAAGTTGCTGAAGATAGAAACAAAGTTTTTGCATTTTTAAGCTGAAAAAATATTTTGACAATTTGTAATTTTCAATATGAAATATGGTTATAGTGATAGTTATTGAAATACAAAACCAAAAACATCTTATTGCTTGCTTGCCTTGAAGTTGAGGGCTCCATGAAAATTCAGGCTCAATCTGGAAAAAAAAAAGATGAAAAATTCATTAACACCTACACTTTAGGATACTAAATGTTAGGATCACTTTAAATATCCCACATTTTCTTAATAGGGGGGAGTGGGTAGTGAGATATTTTGGGCATGGGGGAAAATGTTGAAAAAACTAGCAAAAGGTGCTGACAAATATTCAGTACTATTAAGCAAATGAAGTTTAAATTTTTTCTGCTCTCAACAAAAAATATAGATATTCGACAAACCTCTATCCAGTGACCATGTCTGAATATTGTATGATTCGTTACCATGGCAACCAAAGCAACACTTAAGTTGACTCGTAGTGCATAGACATTGGCAAAGCCAAGCAGTGCAAGGAAGGCAACGAGATATCTCTTCCCGCATGGATTATTGTAACAGCTCTTTTTCTTGGAATCTTCTCCTTCACCGAAAAGTTGGTGGTCGTAAGGTGATGTTGTGTATTTATCGTGAGGAGCTCTCAGAGCAATGTTGTCTTTCTCTGACATGTTCTCTATAAAAAATAATGATAAAAATAATGATGATGATAATATAGATCCCTTGTAGCTCTTTCGAATGCAGCTCAATCTGGGGGGAAAAACTATAGGTTCCAATTCTCAGCAGATTGGAATTCTTTTGTTTTGTTACCTAGATGGAACTACTTTGACGTCACATGCAAGGGGTTTAATACTATATAGTACTTCATAAATAAATTTAATTGATACTAATGTTGAAAGCTAAACATATCTTATCAGTCAAAATTTTTAAAATAATTTCATGAGTCTGTTTATCCCCTTGTTATATTCCTAGAAATTCATCTCATTAAATTTAAATTTCACACAGTTTTCTCGGGCTTTTATATGTCTTATAATGGCTGTGTTCGACGTTTGCCCTAGGCCTAACTCTAACAATTATTATACTGCATATCCTTCAATCGAAGGCATCTCCCTTAACAACATATTTTACCCGGGACCCGGGAACGATTTTCAAAATACTAGATACCCGGTAGCTTTTTAATTTTCATGAAAAACACATCTAATAAAAACTTTTATGAATTCAAAGTTTTCTAGCTTTGTTTAGGATTAGAAAGCGCTTCTTCGAAACCCTAGACATTTTAAAGATACATATTTGGCGTGTCTCGGCATACTATGTGGGCGGCGTCTCAGTTGTGGCACTTAGAAAAATTTCGACTATAAACAAACTCACGGGAGCTGTTTACGATTGAAATACTAGATACCCGGGAATCGAGAACTTGACTAGAAATTACAGAAAAGTAGCGATGTCTTCTATCCGATGTCTTTGAAATTCCCAAATATCTCGAAACAAACGTAGTGGCTGGGAAAAGCAAATAAAAACTAAGACTGTATTTCCCAGCATTTTAAAATAATTCATTTAAGAAAAAATCAAAATTAAAAAATCGTATGATCAAAATCAGGTTCATTATTCGAATTACTCTTATTCATCTTTTGGTAAGGAATTAATTTCCCCCTTATATGCAGTGGAGGAGATCGAGAACTATAATTAAAATTAGATTTGTAAAGTAAACGTCCGTAAGCAAAAAATTATTAGAGTGCATGCCATGGCCAAGTTATTTCGATTCTTTTTCGATTAGTTTGCGTCCAACCGACAAACCTATTCATCCTAAAGTTGTTAAATAACGAGAACGAAAGGCTTCAACAACTTAAATTCCCTTTAAATTCAAACGACAATGAGTAATCATAAATAATAGCATGAAGTCTCTTAGAAAAAAAGGAATATTTTCGAACATATTGAAATGACAAGCAGAGACCACCTTACCTTGAATCCAACTTCGTGTTTATCTTACACGGCTTCGAATATAAACCTTTAGGACATTATGAAATCGTAAAAGTTGCTACCCCGACTCTGTTTTCTAAAGAAATTGGGGTCAAAAAACGATGACAGACGAACCATGGACGATCGAAAAATATCGTCAGAAAAAAGAACAATGTGTTAATCATATTTTGAGGGTGTCATGCTCTCTTGGCTCCAGAGATTCTGATTGGCTAACCCATTCATTTAAAATTCAAATAACATATATCTCAGTACAGCTGTCGTACAGTAGGAGAACACAGCGGAAACAAATCTAAATTCTTATTTTTAAGGCATTAAGAAATATTTCTGTCTTTTTTTCAAGCCGTTCGAAGCATAGAAATACTTGTAAAATCCGGAATGATTCTCTCTTCAGCTCTTCTAACGACAAAAAAATAAAAACCACAGGAATCCCACGCAACTGCACTTCATTGTCGTTCATATACCCCGCTACTTTTACTAATATATATTATAATATTTGATTTAATTTTTTGTGTGCTTATTTTAAACTAATACTAAACCGTGTGGACTCCATGTAGTTTATTCTTTTTTGTTTGCAGTTCCTTTTGGATAACTATATATATATATATATATATATATATAGTAAAGATTGGATTAAAGACGAGACATGT